TTTTTTTTTTTTTTTTTTTTTTTTTTTTTTTTTTTTTTTTTTTTTTTTTTTTTTTTTTTTTTTTTTTTTTTTGCTCCATAAAATTCAAATTATTATTTTGAATTTTTAACAAGTTATTTTGATATTTTTTTACTCATCTTTAACATAATGTAACAATAGTTTGGAAATTTTAAAATAATTTGCTTAAAAGTTATTTACGCTTTACTTAGAAGTTCACAGCAAATAATTATATTTACGTAAGGGCTTCTTCATAAAAATAATTGGAAAAAAAAAGTTCAATTAGGAAATAATTGGACAGTAAGAATTTTCAATAAATTAACGTTATGATTAAAAATGTACGATATCGCGATTAAAGAATGTAAAAAAAAAATTTTTTTTTTTAAAAAATTGTTTAATAAGGGTTTGCTAAAATAATTAAGGGGTCGTTGGAAAAAGTTTGTCTTACAAAATAGGCGGTGATCTAACAAAAGGCTAGAAACCAATGCTTAATTTTTCATAGATTTGGCACTTTTTGTTTTATAATGTTTTTTTTTTTTTTTTTTTTTTTTTTTTTTTTTTTTTTTTTTTGCAATTTAACGTTTGAATTAATATACTTTATTTCCGAATAATAACTATATTTTTATCTGTAGCATTAATAAAAATTCTAATAAACCCCTCTCTGTTTTCCATTGCATTCTGTGTTTCAACACGAAGATTGTTCTTGATTAAAAAACCAAAATTATAGGGAAAATCCATACTTTACAAATGTTGTATTTGTGGACTTTAAAAGCATATAGCTCAGATACCCCTTCCTTCTAGCTCCCATCAGAGTGACGGGGTGAAATTTCGCCTTCTGTTTCAAGTGCCCGTGATATTTCAAGGCTGGTGCTTTCAGAAGTTCGTTTTCAGGTAAAGATATGATGATTCAACATTGAAACGATTTTTCTGAGAGTTTATAATTTTTTCAAACGTATCTTCCTTAACGATGGGAAAAAAATATTGTAGCTTCAAGGATCTGGGAAAAACAGTTGCATACTTTATTTCTGATGATTCAAAAACGATCATGTTGCTTCAAACTATTAATTATTTAAACTAAAAATTTAGTTTTAACTTCTGTTTTCGTTTCAAAATTGCTAATTAGCATTCTTTCCGAATTTACCTTCTTTCCACAAGGCAGTCTATATCTTCTAAACAATCAATCAATTATTTTAGCTTGAATAATTCATTAATAATTAATTAGTCATTAATTAATAAACGAATAACCCTTAAATGATAATCAATTAATTAATGATTAATTTATGATTAATTCAGTATACTTTTATTGTATTCTAAAACCTTTTATATACACTTAGAATGTATAACTTTTTGTAACGTTTTTTCGTTTTGCATTTGAAAACTTGCGTAAAAAGTACTTTAGCTCCAAGAATAGGGAAAAATAGTCACATAAACTATTTCCTTGGATTCAAAATCGATTATGTTATCTGAAACCACTGTTACAACTATTCATTTTGTTTTATAACTCCTAAATTAATATTCTTTCCGCATTTCATTATAAACTCTAGAAAACAATCCATTTATTCAAACAATCCATCAATTATATTAAATTAAATCATTAATTTGTAATTCCTCATTAATTAATTAAATGTCAATTAATTAACAACTTATTCACTAAAAAAAATTTTTTATTCTCAAATGTCTTACACACACATAGAATATGAAACTTTTTGCAACTTACATTTACATTCAAAACTCGTGAGAAAAGTATTATAATTAAATGAATATGGAAAAACATTCACACAGCTCTTGGGATTCAAAACTAATTATCTTGCTTTAAATCAATATTATAACTATTCATTTAATTTCAAAATTCCTAAATTAATATTCTTTTTGCAAACTCTCGAAAGCAATCCATATCTTGTAAACAATCCATCAATTATTTTAAATTAAATCCTTAATTAGTAAGTAATCAATTAATTAATGAAAGTCAATCAATTAGTAACTAATTCACTATACATTTTTTGTATTCTGAAACATTTTACAGACACGTAGAATGTAAAACTGTTGGTAACGAAATACATGTTTTGTATTCCAAAACTCGTGAAAAAAAGTATTATAGTTAAAATAATATACAAAAACTGTTGCATATACTATTTCTTAGGATTCAAAACTGATTATATGGTTTAAAATGACTATTATAACTACTCATTTAGTTTTAAAACTCCTAAATTAAAATTCTTTCCGCATTTCATTATAAACTCTAGAAGGCAATCCATTTTTCGTAGACAGTTCGTCAATTAGATTGAATTAAGGATAAAGGTCATTAATTATTCATATATGCTAAGTTTTTTTTATTTTCTAAAAAAATTTAGAGTTTCTAACAGCGAAATATTTGATCATTAAATGTCACCTGCTCAAACACAATGTTTTATGAAAACGTTGGATATCGTCCAAAATGACATTCTGTTAGAAATATTTTTTAGAAATACGTTTTACTTATCGATCCCACAAACGACTAAATTAAACTCTCAAATGCAATAAGAATTTTTCTCTAGCATTAATGTTTCAAATTCATTAATATATAAGTTTTTGTGATAAAACTTATATTAAGTTGAATCGGTTATTTGCGAAAAAGCATGAGTGTCTGAAATTTTCCAGGATTAAATAATAAGTATTTAAGGGAAGGTGGTGTAGCTCAGATTCGAAACCCTGTTAAAGCTAAACTGTTAAACCTATATAAACAGTCAGATCTAACCAAGATATTCATTGTTTAGTTGTGTACAATATATCATTCTCAAAAAAGTTATTCTTGTATTACTTATTTAATAAATTACTTTTATTTTTTCTAGAAAAAGTCAAACCACCCAGTGACTTTGACAGCCAAAGTGAGGTAAAACCAGGGGCACAGGTTAATTTTGTGGGAAATTTAGAAATATAGGGGAGAGTCTGGTAGCCCCGCCCAGCGGGTACCCCCGCCACTGTCAATTTCATATGTATAGAATATTTTTTCAAGTCAATGGGCCATCGGATATTAATTGTTATATTAAAAAAAGATTATTTTCAAAGTTTCAAGTATTTATGCAGCTGTTAACATGGTAAACAATAGTTTTGAAAATATGTTGAATACAGTAGTCATGAAATTAAGAAAAATTGGTTGAATGTTTCGATTAAACTTCATTTTAATACTAAAAAAATAATTTTTTCTATACATACAGCATTAAAGTATGTAGTCTTAAGTTTAATTTGCACAAAGAAAGAAGTTTATATGTGAAAAATTGTTCGAGTAATTACAAATTTACAAAAAAATTGGATTTCGGGTAGCCCCGCTCACATGAATGTCGGGTATCACCGCCCAATTTTATTTCGTCGATAAATGTACGGTTGCAAAGATTATTATTTTATTGCTTCAAATTTGAATGTTATATGCATTTTTAACAACAAATATTGTTGTTATTAAATGATTGTTATTAAATGATAGAATTCACTAAAAGTATATAAATATGTAATAAATAAAATAATTTTGTGATAAAAATGATAAATGAGGTTTATCTATTGTCAATACATTGGTCATTTTCATTTACACCTGAAAAAACAGTCAAAAAACATAATTTTTGTAACTGGGCGGGGCTACCCGACACATTTTGAAAAGAGCTGAAAAACATGTTTTTTAAATTTCTATTTTTTAAAGTTAAACTGTTCTTCTTTCGGTTTATTCCTTTTGTATTATTTAATTGGATGATAAAACAATAGAAACATACAAAAATATTGATTATTACTCAATATTATACAGAGATATAAGCAATACTCAAGTGAGCGGGGCTACCCGACTCTCCTTCAGTGAAAAATTGGCTAGCATTCTTATTTTATATGACAATTATTAAACTTCGAAAATTATGTATTTGTAATTTCATGTGATGTAGTCAGGGCCGTGCTTAAGGGCGGGGAGGGAAGAGGGAGACACAATTGTCCCAGGGCCCGGAACTGATTAAGTCCCTACAAATAAAAATTTCTTACGAAAAATATAATAAATACTTTTTTTGAAAAAGCATAATAAAGAATTTTTTTTACATCTGTATAATAACTACAATTTTGTATACAGAATCTTCAAACATTCTACAAAATACGAAAATAAGGCGTTTTGTATTTTAGAAAAAGGCTAGCAATAAATTTGGCCCGGTGCCCATGAAACTTTTGTTCTGCTTTGGATGTAGTTATCTTCTTCCTCTGTTACACTACAGCTTTTGTTGGCAAGGAATAAAAACAAATCAAAAGAGGTTGCAAACCTGGGAGTACCCAGTCTTAAACGCGGGCAGAGATTATCGAAACGAAACAGTACTATTGGGTTCAATCCTTGTTGTTTGTAAGAGTATGAATCTTTAGTAAACATATAATATGCTTTACTAAAGATAATTTTTATAACTGTTATGCCTAGTAAATAAGGATAGCTTAAAAACAAGAGAACATTAGAAAGTAAACATAGTAAAACAAACCTACTAATATAGACGCCGTGAATTAATTCTTTTTGATTAGTCGAATGAAATTCAGAGTTTGTTCGCTAGAAATCAGAACTAATTTCTCCAAAATCGAAGTACCCAGTTTCACCCTACTCTCTTCGATTTATTTTAACGATGATTGAAATACCGGAGTAAAACTATTAGATTCCGAACTTTACTGGGAACTCGACTTCAACTTATACTTAATCACCAAATCTCAGAAAAGTATTAATATTATTACTAAATAATTGTTGATTTCAAAGTATATTTCCATTTATATATAAGAGTTTTAAAAAATATCACTATTTAAAATTACGTTTTGTATGATGACATAAGAGTTGAAGAAATATATTTTAAAAAAATAGATTTGCACAAAATATTTAAATTGTGCTACACCATCATAACGAGAAAAAAATTTAAATCAATATTTCACACTCGCATATACTGTAAATGTCTTGTGGTAAAATTGTGTAGAGAAATTTCGTGATGAAAGAAACTGTTAAAAAATATAGATTAAATCCATTTGCACTTTTTTTTAATAAACTTATTAACTCATCTGAATAAATTTGGTTTTGTAATTTATAAATTAAAAGATAACCTATCTTAATAACTCATTTAATCTCAATTTTTCGATAGTTTCAATTATTTCCTGGAGCCGCAGTGGTTCAGGGGATAGAGCGTTCACCTCCCAATGAACTCACTTAGGTTCGAATTATAGAGATGGCTGGTCAATTCAAATTCCGCACCAGGCTCGCACCGACCACAATGCTGACGAAAAATACCTTCAATGGTAGACGGATCATAGGTTAAAGTCCCCTTGCCGTCAGGCTAAACATGGGAGGTTTTTGTGCTTTTCCCGTCTATGTAACACAAATGCGGGTTAGTTCTATCAAAAAATCCTCCACTAAAGCTATTTTGTCCCAAAGCTTGATTCAGTAGTTCCCTTGTCTTCGAGGTTGGGTTCAATATTACAAGGCTACGGATATGATCATTGATAGTCTTAAACTCAAAATGGAGTCTGCTGTTCAACGCCGGTTATGAAGTAGAATAAAAAAATATATTATATAAAAAAAAATATAAGTTGAAGAAATTTGGAGGTGGCTCCAAAAGCTCCATGCCGCAAAACAGACTCATTTCTTTCCTGGACCAATCGATTTCACTACAAACAAATACGGAAAAACTACAGCTAACTCAATTTCGAAAGAAATGTGGCTTATATCGTTTCAAAAATAGCCGATTCGGTTATTCTGATAGTTCTTAATATTTCTGTTTCATTTTTTACAATGTATATTTATTTGTGTTCAATTCACCTCAGTTTCTTTGTAGAATAGTATCCAAATCCTACTAACATTTGAATAGATAACGCCAAAAATAGAGATAAAGGCACTTTATGAAAAATGAAATTGGAGGATGTAAAAATATTCTTACACTAAATCCAGAAATAGGTATAAATACGAAGTATTAAGAGGAATGGAACTGTAGTTCAATCATAAAACAGCGATATAAAGAAATCCTCCCAATATTGGAAACAATAAATATTTTATTATATTATATTATATTACATTACATTACATTACATTGCATTACATTACATTATATTATATTATATAATATTATATTATATTATATTATATTGTATTATATTATATTATATAATGTGTGAACAAATATTATAAATTTGCCAAAAGTTACTTACCAACATTTTGAATATATCTAATTTTTCGTTAATAACAATTTGAGCTTTTACTTTCATATTTCAACAAACTAATTTGAACTAACAAAATCTACTGCTACTTACAAAAAAAATAAGTAAAATTAAAACGGTACTTATTTTTGCCTAAAAATAAATTCTTAAAAATACCTATTATATATTTCAATTTATGTTAGGTTTTATAAATATTAATTTACAAAGAGCAGAGAACTATATTCCAACTGTCTTAAAATAGAAATTAAAAAATTCTGTTGGTCATAAATATTTTGAACAAAAAAAATTAAAGTGTATTAAAACCTTAGTTTTTTGTGTGTTAAAACATTAGTTTTCTGTGTTAAAACATAAGTTCTTAACATAAGAAAATAGAATTTAATAAATAAAAGTCAAAATGTAAAAAAAAAAAATTATAAATAAATAGAGTCAGAAGTGATGTGTTAGTAATTGATCCACATTATTATCACAGTCCACATTGCACCTCAGTCATGTATCCAAAATAGTCCCATGGAGGTATTAGCTCTCTAGTGTTCATTATTGTGAAAGAAGTAGTACTACTTCTATTCACGTAGCACTAGAGCTGCTCAATGGGCTGTTTTATTTAATATTTTTTATTTATTTAATTATTTATTTTATTATTTTTTATTTATTAATTTATTTATTTAATAACCACCGTTGAGTATCAAACCCAATTCTAAGTTTACGACTATCAATGTTCAACTCTATAGCCTTGTAATTTTGAATCCAACCCTGAAGGTAAGAAAACTTCTGGATCACGCAATGGGACAAACTAGCCTTCGTAGAGGATTTGTTTTAATGGAACTAACACTCATTTATTTGCATTAAATGGAGAGGAAACCACGAGCACTTTCCACGCTTAGCCAGGGGGCAAGGGGATTCTTACTCATGATCCGTCAACCACGGAGGATATTTTACGTCAGCACAGTAATCAGTGCGAGCCGGGAGCGGAGTTCATATAAACCAGCCACCACTGGGATTTGAAGCTGTGTTACCTCTTTGGGAGACAAACGCTATCCCCTGAGCCACTACGACTCGCACAATGGGCTATTGATGACGGTTCGGGGAATATCCCTGAAGATGAACCAAATGCATGACCTCAGAATTTTGATTATCTTCTTTTTTGTCAGCGCAACAACCCCTTGCATACCTTGGCTGCTTCAACAGCTGACAAACGCCAGAGCCTGCTATCCATGGCAACTCCCTTCCAATTTCTAATCTTTAGGGTTTTTAAATCTTTTTCGATGTCGATGTCCATCTAGTAGGGGGTCTGCCTCTGGGGCGTGGCCCCTCGAGGTTCTTAAAGGTAACTATTCTCATGGCACTATTTTCAGGGCTTCTCCACAGATGACCCAGCCATCTCAGCCTATTACTGCGAATTATTTGTGAAATTTATTTATATTTGATTATCTGCAGAGGGGATATCTCCCCTGCTTTGGTAGCCTGACGATCTACGCGCAGGTTCATTATTGGTAAATTAGAAAATGGAAACCAAAATAAAATTTTAAATTAAGTAATAAGTATATTCATTCATATCATACTTTCTTCTTGCTCTTTAAACAATAAATAAAAATAGTCTGAAGTGGTAAATTATGAATTTACTTTTCCACTAAATAAAACCTTGTTTTATATTTTTCTACTTGCAATCAAGTGTCTTGTCATGAAACTTAATTTAAAATTATAATACAGTTTTGCTAGTTTGCTAATAAATAGCAGATGAGAAATATTATTTTTCGTGGGGAGAAACCAAATTTAATTCTTTGATGATAATTACGTTCTGTTACATGTGCATTAATTACAGAAGAGAAAAATTGAACTTTTTGATTGTAAACATCCAAGTACTCTTGTCTCTAATTAATAATTTTTTAAACATTCTATTGAGAAGTGCAGTCGAGCCCTTTAGAAATTCACTTAAAAATACTTTTATTTTTTATGACTCAATTTTTTTTTTTTTTTTTTTTAATTTTACTTAATTCCATTTTCAATGCTTAGGTGATTTCAATGATTGAGATAGTGAAATGTTCTAGAACCTTTTATAATATGAAAAGATTTAAATTTCACATATTTTTTACAAATAAATTAATTTCTTCTTCTGATTCGTAACGCAAAATGAGAAAATAAAAATTTTAAAAAAATATTCACTTAATCTGCACTTTTATTATAGATTGCTCCCATGTGCAGATGAAAATATGCAAGCATCTTTCATAGTTAGGAAAATATGTTCAAGCATTTATGATGAACACTCGTGGCTAAAGGCATTTATTTTAGTATCAACGATTGTTTCAAGTAAGTTTTTATTTATAATATTCATTTTATTTGCAAAAATTTAATAATTAGTAGAAATAATACCAAATATTACAAATTACAGCATAAACTAGAAAATAAAATACTTCAAATCTAAAGTTAATTAATAATGACACCCTTCAATACCCCCTAACAACTGTGTAATCAAAAATCAATAGATTCTTTGAAATTTGGATTTTTTTTTTTTAAAAATTAATATTCTGAATTTCTGAAACTTCAGAATTTTATAACTGGCGTTGAACAACCAGAGTTTAGAAGCAATTAGAGTTTACAACTACCAGTATCAACTCTTTATCCTTGCAATTTTGAACCCAACAAAGAAGACAAAGTAACTCCCGCATCAAGCATGGGAGAAACTATCTTTCGTGGAGGACTTTTTGATGGAACTATCCTCTCATGGTTAGCCCGACAGCAAAGCGACTCTAATCCATTATCTGTCTACTAGTGGAGATATTTTACGTCGGCACTGTGGATAGTGCGAGCCGGGTGCAGTATTCATATCAACCAGCCATCGCTGGGATTCGAACCTGGAACACCTCATTGGGAGGCGGACGCTCTATCCCCTGAGCCACTCTGGCTCGAAACTTCAGGATCACTCCTTTCATCAATGAACGTTCAGTACGAAAGAGATTCATAGGGTTACTAAAAATTTTAAGATACATCTTTGAATGCCTTATGTAATTAAAAATAAAAATGAATTGATAAATTTTACGAATAATTTTCACAGTGCACATAGTTTACTAAATATAATCTCTTATTTAAAGTAAACATTTCTTTAAAAAAAATATTCTTCATAATATTTGTACTAAAAAAAATTTGCAGAAACAATTTATTATGCCATGATTAAAATTCTTTTGTTGTTGTTCATTTACGTTGCACTAGAGCTGCACAATGGGCTATTAGCGACGGTCTGGGAAACGTTCTTGGGGGTTATCCAAAGACATGTCATCACAATTTCGATCCTCTGCAGAGGGGATGGCACCCCCACTTCGGTAGCCCGATGATCTGCATGCGAAGTCGAGCACTTTATGGTAGAATAGTTTAACGAGGACCAATACCGCACACCCTCGGTCCCTAAGCAGACTAATCCAACTGGTCACCCACCCGCACACTGGCTGCAGCCAGTGGTTCTTGGCTTCGGTGATCTGCCGGGAATCGTGTCTTAACTATCAGTTCATTGCGGGACAAAGTTCTTTTGCATTCGAATTAACCTTGAGATTTCTTTTCCCTTTCATGTAGTGAAAACAAAAGAGTTCCGCTCAAGATATGGTTCACAAAATCACAACCTTTCTTGTTACTTTACTCATGATTGCTTAACAGAGGTCATGTTCTTGTACTTTTAGGAAAACTTTAAATAAGTAATAAGTTTTTTTAACATTATAGCATCTTTCTCTCCTCTATACACATACAGAACGTCAATTAAGGACGTCATCTACTGCGTTTTTCTAATAGAGATATCACATGATAAAAGTTGACCGACAAGTAAATCGTAAGCGCAATCGTATTCTTAACCTCCACCAAAAATTGCTCGAAATTGCTTGAGTGATACAGAAATCGCAGTAGCTCGGAATATCAGAAACTGTTTCTCTGCTGCTCGGAACTCACACTTGGACCAATCAGATAGTTTGCATTTTATGACGTGTCATTTCTCTGTGGTGACGTTTACATTTGTAAACATTATGGCAGCAAAAGAGATAGAAAGGGCGATCTGACGTGATTTTTCGTTGATGAAACGGAATTTTAAGCATCAGTTTTAAAATGTAAAACTTCATTGAAAAAAAGTAGCATAGAAGTTATAAAATTTTTATCCCAGACGCAAAAAGGTGGGGGGAATTTGTTTACCAGACGTTGAGAAAAATAACAAAAAATTTCTACACCTTCCGAGCTATCTTTCTAGCAATTACACAACCCTATAGGAAACTCTAAATCGCGAATCACCTTTAAAGTTGAGAATATAGTAGAGCTTAGCTTGTGCTTATGATTATTCATAATTTTCTGTTGCAAGATAACCGTATGAGTAAAAATTTTGTGAAGGGTCCGTTTTTAAAATAAGAAATATTGTGAAGATTCCGTTTATTAAGGAAAAATATTTTGTAATATTTTTCTGTTATAGAATAATTAATGAAGGATAAATTTCATCTAAAACTGCTACTGAACTCATGATTAGAGAAAATTTTGAAAATATAAGAACAAATAGTTATCTTCTTTTAAATTATGTTATTTAAAATAACAGAATAGAAAATTTGAGCAAAATTAGCTAAATAGTTTCTGAATAATAAAAATATGAAATGAAAAAACAAATTAATAAATAGAACGTAAATATTCATTTCTCAAAAACAATTCGTTCGATTCCATTTAAATTTTGAATTTTATTATTTAAAATTGCGTAGTTTAAAATAATGCAAAAATTGTGTACCTTTTAAAATGAAATTTTTTTCCGTCCATAAGGAAATTAAATAATAAAAAATAATTGTTTAAAGTTCTTTTTTACATAAACCATTCTTGGATAAATAAGTTTCATAATTGCGTGCAAAACATTTTTAATTATCTTAAAATGTTCTGGAAATATAACAAAAAAAAAGAGCAGAAAAAAAACATTTTATTGGCGACTCCTGGCATTTTAGGAACATATTGTTCAAAATGCAGCTTCTCTTCCCTAAATTTAAATGGTTCAAAATTTAAATCTGTCGGGAAAAAAACGCGTAATTTATTCAAGAAAAGTACGTTTTATGGCTATTTTCGTAACTTAAAATATCAATCCACAATATAGAGCTTATAAAAGATGGAAAATTTCAAAAAGAATATTCAAATGAAAACTAAACATTAAAGGCCTTGAAAAAAAATTTAATTTTTTAATCTTGAAATTTCAGTTAAAATAATGGTTTTCGTATCGTGCTGTGTATCATAAAAGTTAAAGACTCACTTTTATAAGATATCAAATATTTAAAAATCGCAAGATTTTTTGTTTTTGTTTTATAGAATAAACATAAGGAATAAAACTTACTAAACAGGAAAGGCACTATTTCAGATAAACACTCTAACAGGAAAATCATCTTCTCTTCACACAAATATTTAGCTCGAGCAATTAAAATATTTGAAAAACAGCTAAAACAAGTCATACATTTCGTTCTGTCATCTTTTGCTTGAAATACTTTAAAAATATAAATGACAGGTGATAAATTCGTTTTATAATTATAAACAGACTCGTTTCTGGCGATGAGAACCCTTCAAGTCTGAAAATTATCTACTATTCTAAATACAAAAATAAAAGACTATAAATTATGTCCGAGTTCAGTTTTTCTTCATAATCGTCGAAGGTTTACATCAAATTTGCATGAAATGGTTTTCTGTTTTTGCAAATTACTTAAAAATTTCTTGTTTTAACTTGAGGGAAAAATTGCATTTCTAGAAAACAAAATGCAGATAAGTTTACTCAATATATAATTATATACTTTGAACTGTACAAACAACTCTTTTTATTATTATTATTATTATAATTATTATTGTAATCATTAATATTATTATCTTTATTAATATGAGTCAACGAAATCGTTTGAGCACAGAAAACAGCAACGATTGGGTACAGACTGAACGTAAAAATGGAATATCCTGAATAACTTTTAATTTAATGATCGGGTTATCAATACGTTAAAAAGCGTTTTCAGTAAACAAAACATATTAAATTTACAATACTTCGGACGGAACAAGCAACTGTTTTTCCGATAAATTTAAGCCAGTGAATCTATTTGTTCAAACATAAAAAAATAACGATTACTTACATAGATTACATGGCGAGGGGGGAGGAATAGCCTGAATAACTTTTGATCTTATGATCAGATTATCACAGCGTTAAAAAGAATTTAGAATAAGCAAAATGCATTAAATTTACAATACTTCAGACTATAAAAGAAATTTTGTTTCCTAATAAATATGAGCCACCGAATATATTTGCGTGAAGGAAAAATGACAATATTATATATAATGCAGTACGGTTCCCAGTAGATCACCGAAGTCAAACATCACTTCTTGCGTTCAGTGAGGGGGAGAGTGACCACATTGATCAGCATGAGAAGGAAGCGAGGATGTACGGTATAGGTCCTCATTAAACTATTATTCCGCAAAGAGCTCGACTTAGAGAGTAGGTCAACGGGCTATCACAGCGGGGGTACCGTCCCCTCAGCTGAGGATCAAAGTTGTAATTGCAAAATCTTCCTCAGAGATGTTTCCCAGACCATCACCAGTAGGCCATTACAGCAGCTCTAATGCGACATAAATAAAGTAGTACTGCTTTAAACCATCAGGATTTCTCATGAGTGCGTCATGCATCTAATCTGACCCCCACTAAACAACAATGAAAGAAATGGCCACATTCATTTAATAGTAAAAGTAAATTATATCTGCCACATCACTTTATTTCTAAAATAGCCTAATCGTTCAACAACGGTGTTTTCAGGTCATGGATGGTTGTCGGGGAAAAATTGAGAGCTTCAATCAATCTTTCCAGATCCTCTTAATCAGTTTCTATAGAATTCAGGCCTGAAAATTTAGTGACCAATTCATCCAACGAATATCTTCCCTTTGTAGAAATCGTCGACTTAACAAACTCTATGTGCAGCAACGTTGTCATTCATTAAGAGGAGTCTTAGATTTACGTCGCACAAAAGCTGCACAATGGTCTATTGAAGATGGTCTGAGAAACATCCCTAATGATTCGAAGACATGCCAATACAATTGTGATTTCCCTGCAGAGAGGACGGCTCCCTTGCTTTGGTAGTCCGACAACCTGCGTACGAAGTCGAGCCCTTGATGGCTGAGCAATTTAACGGGGACCAATCCACACACCTTCAGTCCCTTCCATTTGCAAGCTGATCAAAATGGTCACCTACCCGCTGACTGAGTGCTGCCAGTGATGTTTTACTGGTAACCGTGCATTTACGAGTCTTAGGGCGGCTATTCTCAGTACGCATATTGATCCGATTCGCGTATGTGGTTCGTGCATGGAAGAACAGTTTCTCTTTTATGTAATTTCAGATTCACAGACGCGTGAAGGAGAATCGAATGCAGTGCGAATGGACCCTATTTGCAATATGTATGGTGTTTTCAGTAGAAAAGTAAACAATAACAATCTCGAGCTCGGGACCTACTCTAGTTCCGGTTAAAAAGTTTGCAGCTGCTTACTACATGTTATTCTGATAGGCGATGTTTTCAAACGGATAATTTTGTTTTCAATAAAAGAAATAAATTAGATAATTTCTGAGCTCAAATCTGCCGTATTTCATAAGATATTAATGTTATTATGTAATTCTGGGGAGTTTGGAGTGAAAATTTGTTTTAGTTATTTTGTTATTTATTATTAAAAAAGGTGACATGGTTGCTAGATTTTGAATAACTCGCTTTTTTGGCAGTCTTGATTTGGCCTCTTTCCATTTGTTTATTACTGTTTGTTCGTGTTGCAAGCTGTGCACCATCTTACGTTAGTGTTAACACTTTTAGTATTGTAAACACAAGTATTGTTAGCATTGTAAACATAAGTAATAAGAAACCAAATGCATTGTTTGCAGGAATCTCAAAACACAATGATGCCAAATGGCTTTAAAATACAACTGAAACAGTAACCCGGAAATTTAGGCAGTCCCGAGCTTGCAGCGTTCCCTAGTGTAGAAAACACCATCCATACAGCAATCCAAATTTCATTAAAATCGGTGCAGTAGTTCTGCTGTTGTTGTTGTTGTTAATTTACGTCGCAATAGAGCTGCACAATGGGCTATTGGCGACGGTCTGGGAAACATCCAGTAGTTCTGCAGATACTCGACTACGTCAGCAAGTCCCCTTTTTTGAACATTAATATTGAAATTTTGATCCAGTTACTTTTTACACAAATAATGAGTTCTTGAAGAAAAATGCTATCTTAAGTGTTGATAAATGCTTAATATGTTTATTTTTACAAGAAATTTTATTTTCCGATTAAGGAAATAATATTTTCTTAACATTTTTAACAGGTAGCAGTGGCCTAGATTGCTTTAAATGTGTATCAGTAGGTGGTGACAACCAACCTTGCGAGGATCCTTTTCATAACAATTACACTAAAGACATTTTAGAGGCACCTTGTTGGGCTGGCAGAAAACAAAGAGACGGAGTCTTCCCTGCCACAGCTTGTATAAAATTATCTGGAATTTATGGTATGTAAACAAAATATATGGTAGTCTTTAAATACTTGATTACACATTTCAATTTACACTCAAACAGTGTCAAATTTTAAACTTTAAGTTCAACATACTTAATATAGTCTGAATCTTTTTCCAGCAGCATTTCTACTACGACAAGATTTGCTATTTAAAATCAATTCCCTGAATCTATATGGGCCGTCTAAAAAGTTCCCTAAATGGATGGATATCTCAAAAACAACCTAAATTAAAAATTTGATCATGTGTATGCGTAGAAAGTGACCCAAGGAGAAACGGAAACACAAAAGATGTCCAAAAAAATAATTAACGTAGTTTGTTGGCATTCAAAAAGCAGCATCGTTTAAATGATGCCATCCATAGTAAAAGTGTCAAGAAATTGTACCACATAGCAAGATAGTCAGTTAGTTTTTAAAATAGATGCGATATACAAGTTATTATCCTGGTCGCCTATTTCATTTACGAAAATAGAATACCGAAAGATTTAAAAACTCTTAGTTTTTTTTTTTTTTTTTTTTTTTTTTTTTTTTTTTTTTTTAGGGATAGATAATATGAGCTATGCATACTAATTTTTTTTTTCAAATCATTCAAAAGTTTCTAAACTACAATGGTGGCCAAAAGTGTGGACATTTTTCGAAAGTTTCATGTTTTTCAATTTCGTGTGCTTGTAGAATATATTAATTTTCACTTAAATACAAACGTTTATTTATCAAATTGAAGGTAATTAAATGTAAAATTTAATAATAAATACAGTATAAGAATATCTGTATTAAAAAAAAGTTATGCAACTAATAGTAAGATCTATCTTAGATTTGCATTTTTTTAAAGTTATACTTACAATCAATACTTAGTAGGATAACCCTTATTTTTTAAGACAGCTTCACAGCGTCTTTTCATCGAGTGATCGAGTGTTCATCTTTCGTAATCATATGGTGCGAAGAATCAATTATAGCTTCAATAAGTTGTCTTTTATTGGATGGACGTTTTTTTCGTACAGGAATTTTCAAACGTTGCCACAAATTTTCAATTGAATTGAGATCAGGGCTGTTTCCTGGCCATGGTAATATATCTATGCCTTTATTTTGAAACCATGCCTTGCATACTTTTGCTGTGTGGCATGGAGCTGAATGCTGCTGAAAAATAAATGGTGCGTTGTTGGGGAAGAGATCCCTGATGGAAGGTATCAATTTTGGTTTCAGGTCAGTTTCGGTGTATTTTTGGCATTCAGGATGCAATTAATCACTTGACTTCGGCCCACACCATCTACAAACATACATGCCCAAATCATGACATTTGTTGAGTTTTTTGTAGTTGCTTCAATGCAATCAGGATGAATGAAGTGCTTCACCTACTCTACGTCTCACGTATTTTCTACCATCACTACCAAAGAGCGATATTTTACTCTCATCTCTCCAGATTACTTGCTTCCATTGATTTTCAGACCATTTAATGTGTTCTTTTGCCCACTTAACTCGTTTTTCGCGTTGCTTTTGATTTAAATATGGTTTTTTCCTTGGAATTCTAGCTTGTAGTCCAAATCCTGATAACCTTCCTCCTATTGTTCTTGAACTTACTGCAATACCCGCTGCATTCATTTCACATCTAATGGCATCTGATGAAATTTTTCTATCTTGAAGGCATAGCCGTTTAATTTTTCTATCGGCAGTAGCACTTGTGCATTTTTTTCGGCCTGATTTGGCTTTATTTTCCACTGATTTCGCTTTTTCATAACGTAAACAGAACTTTCGTACACCAGAACAAGTCACTGAACCACCAACACGTCTTATTCAAAACGATTTGTGTTTGTTTGTTCTACTAAAATGAGCATAACTATTTTTATAATACAGATATTTTAATTCTGTTTTTGTTATTAAATTCTACATTAAATTACCCTCAATTCGATAAGTAAACGTTTGTATTTAAGTGAAAATTAATATATTCTACAAGCACACAAAGTTGAAAAACATGAAACTTTCAAAAAATGTCCACACTTTTGGCCACCACTGTAATACATTCGATGGCAGGCGAATTGAATCTGATGAATCTAATTGAATCTTATTGAGATTCTATATTATTACCCCTCCTTATACATATTTTATTAGTAAGCATGCATAATGATGATTACATAAAAACAAGAAATGAACTAAACCTTTTTCGAAACACAGTCTAACCCCGTAATAGTGAACGTGGGATATAGTGAACACTCGGTAGTAGTGAACGTTTTCAGTGGTTTTGTCTAAGCTGCTATTCAACTAATATTCTTTTATACGCTTATAGTGAACACCTGAGAAATCGACAGTTCGTTTATAGTGGACTCAATTTTCTTTTTTTGCAGCTATTTAAATAAATGATACGAAATTTCGAGTCTATGTGCTTATACCAAAAGTATATCATTACGATTTTTATTTAAAAATGAAATAGCGTTACAAGGACATTATAAAAGAGTGTTAAAATGAGTCATTTCAATTTAATGAATAGTGTTGTGGTTCCGAAAACAAAGTCATGGGAAAACGAATTGGTTGACCAACGACTGTAATTTCTAACTTTTAATTGCACTTTATTTCAAAAATAACGGAAAACAATAGGTTAAACACTTAAAAAACTCCGAAAAATCACAAAAATTAAAAAGATAAACGTCTAGAAAATGTGTTATAGGGTGACAACCACTTCATTAAATAAGGAATATTTTGAAAGTTATTAAGGATTCTGATAAAAAATTTCGTTACAGGGAGAAATTTGATGTAAGCAAACTTCGTTGTAACGAGACTCTAAACATTTAGTTAGTCAATAATTTATAAAGCAAATTACGTACTATTTCAATCACTATTTCCCATAATAGTACAAGATATTTTCTCGAAGATTTTAGATATAGTGAACTATCGTTTATAGTGTACATATTGATGGGTTCGCAGGTGGTTCACTATAGCTGGATTCAACTGTATAATGGTTGCTCAATTCAAAGATGTGCAAGAATGATAGCATCAAAAATTCACTAACCATAGCAAAACCACCATTCAGAGTTATAAAAGAGAGTAAAATAACTTGTTTGTCTGTGTGCGTGTTAAAGTCGTCACAAATAAAGTGAATGTAATGTCGAGCTAAGAAGGATGCATCCACAATAGAATTACGTGAAAAAGTACAATTTATAGAAGATTGCACAATTGTTCTACTCTTGTCAAATTGAGACCAACTCAGATGTCTGGAGCCTCAACTCTTCGATTACCTTTATCATTTTAGCAACTATACTCATTTTAGTAGCTGCATCAATTCATAGGAGATCAACGCGTTTACTTGCCCTGGGACTATAACCAGACACAATACGCCCTTTTACAAAAATTATTACACTATTTGTTCTAGTTAGTGTCCGCTAAAAACAGCAAACGTGACATGAGAAATGTCCGCATTACTCACATCTTCTGCCTCTAAAAACCATACTTCTGGGCTTTTGTTCTGTGCTAAACTCTTCCATCTTAGCTTGCCTTTACATTTACTTAAAGCGCTCTCGTGCGACTTAGTTACTAAGCTCCACACCATCTACGATAGGTTTCTCTTGAAGGGTAACGCTTTCATGAGTTCCAGTTCTTATTTCGACAACCCTAAAGCAAATACATATTATACCTTTTTATTTATATTTTTTCTTATTATTTTAGAAGATTCTGGAGAAAAGATGATAGTTCGAGGCTGTGCGCTTGATAGTGGCACTCTTACCATTGATACCGAAATTGTAAGAATGAGCCACTGTGGAGGTTTTTATTTTGACAACCGTTATGTGAGCGGGTGCCTTCAAAGCTGCTCTGAAGATGCTTGTAATTCAAGTACAATCCTCCGTATTTCGTTGTTTTTTTATGTCATATATTTATTCCTATACTTTAAGTTGGTGAAAGATTAAAATGTTCCCCAACAGGCATTTTTGTATTACTTTATTTATAACCTCATAAATACATGATATGTGAGTAACTGCGCACAGACTTTTAAAAATTTATAAGAAAATCGCTGATTCACAGAGGGAACTTCGCCTAGGAGTCCACAAAGATCGAAGTCCATGTTACAGTGGAATGGTGACTTCCCTCAAGTTTCATTTAGGTGAAACATTCAAGGTTGACGAGTCATATTTTGTTGACTAGCGGGAAGGTGTGCAGCGGACACTGTAAAAAAGCTTCCTAATTCACTCTGATCAAAGGTGAAAGTTTTTCCATAACAATTGGGGTTAAACCTTCTGGCTACGAACTCAAATGTCCCAGGTTCAATCTCAGCCAAATAACATTTCGTCCAAATTCTTCCACAAATATATTCTTACTGTATGGTAATAAGTGCAAACAGTAAAAATATGAAAAAGTGACGTGATGGATATAAAAGTTATCAGGTGACCATGTCTCAAACATTTTCCCAACATAAAACTTATAGTCTGGTAGAATAACTGAGACATTTAACATGTGAAGTTTTTCGTGAACTTGCTGATTTACAGTAAAACCATTAATTTTTAAGCTCATACAAGAGGAGAAAGGAACTCAGTGTATAACATATGTGGAAACCTCACAAAAAGTTATAAACGGGCCAACTGATGAACGGGGATTTTTTATTTGATTTAACTAACTAGAATCTTTTAGGGTTCAGCTTAATTATTTTTATTTTTTTTTCTCTTTGAGCCTTAAATTTTTATTTTGAGGTAAAACTACTCAATACATGATTAATCAACTACCTCAAATAGAAAAATATGTTTAAATTGATATATAACATTAAGATGTATGTGCCCTTTTTTATTGAATTAACATTGGAGTGATCATATCAAAAAAAATACAATCCCTCAAAAGAAATGAATTAAAACAAGAGACAAAAGTATTTGTCTGCTTTTTTATTTGAAGAAAACAAAATCAGTTCGCGAATCAAAATTTGAATGAAGACAGATAATGAATAAATATTAGTCATTAGATACCTTTAAAAGAACAGATTACTTTTAAAGAATGGAAAAATATTGAAAGTGAATATTAATGTTATTAAATATTGAAAAGTTATATTTATTTGGGAAAGTTCAATTTTCTTACAAGAAAAAAAAATTCTTACAGCAGCATATAAATTTTAAACGAAAAACTACTAAAATCCTAAAAGAATAAGTTTTAAATTAGTTTAGGCATTGGATGATAATTAAAGATTTACTTTTAATACTTGTTGAAAACTGCTGTTAACTAAATGGAAATTAATTTCTTGAAAAGTAAATTTGTAGAACATGGAAATTTTGATAAATAATTATTAAATAGCTTTAAGAAGTTGGTATACTTAATAAATTTTTTATATAAAAGAATTTTAATTATTTGAAAAATAAAATACTTACTCAAACTGGGCAATCAACAAACAACTTTAACAATAATTTTATTTTAATTCCATAAATTCATACAATTATGCTTTAAGATTTTTAAAAAAATTGCTGCAATGAATATTATTATTAATATTAGTACTATTTTTATCTAATGTGAAAAATTGAGATAAATAAGTTAGTTTATTATTTAAATTCACACGAACGATGAAAATTATAAATTTTTAAAAAAAATATTTTTTAACTCCGCAACTTTAAATTTCTTAAAAAAATTTTTATTGGTTTTTTACCCCTTCTTTTCATAAAACTGTTCTTCTCTTCCAAAATTATCTATAAATGTTTTAATAGCAAAAAAAAAATTCCCAGAAAAGCTTTTTTTTTTCTTTTAGATTTTCATTGAAATTACAAGAATTTATATCTGTAAAATAACATTATATGAATTTAACAAAAAATATTAAGACAGCAAAAGCAATATTTATTTAAACTCGAATCAATATAACATGGATAACAAACATGAATAATTAATATAGATGCATATTTTTTATTTTGAATTTACAAGTTTCATTTAATTAAACATGGTAAAAGTATTTAAGTTTTCAATGAACTGCAGTAAAAGATGGTGTAACCATGCATCTAACATACATTTGCATGGTTATAATAATAGTCTTTATTGCAAAACTGAATAAGTTAAAAGCACAAAGAGCAACCATAAAATTAGATAATCACAGAATGGCTGAGAAGTGTAACATATTATAAGAGTAAAACAAATAACAAACAAAAATAATTATGATGTTTAAAACAATGATAAATATCTAAACTTTTACACAAAAAATTTAAAATATTCAGCTTTAAATTTAAAATTACAAAATATTTTCATTGTGTTCTTCACCATTAAAAACATCAGCAACAAATGTTAAAAGTTACAGTATTGCAATCAGATACAGTATTGCAACATAAAATCGATGTTCAAATTAAACCTGAAAAGGTAGTTAATTAATGTAACGAAACAATCAGATAAAACATTTTGTAGAGCAGGTAATTTAAAACAATTTCAAAAAATATAAGACAAAAACTAAGCTAAATTTGCAAAAAGATATGCTATGTTTTACATAGCTTATCATTAATTTGTAGTTAAATATCATTGTAATGAATCAAATGAATTAAATAAGATTTAAGAGCATTTAGGCATACAAAAACAATCAACAGACAATGCTGAAATGAAATAGCTAGTAAACTCAGATACTTCTACAAACAATCACAAATTAGCGAAAAAAATTTAAAGAGAGGAAAAGTTTACTTATTTCAGTGGTCATGAAGAAAAAAAAACTGATACATTGAAAAACATTTAAGACAAAATTTGAAATAATATTTCTTTATACTTATTTATAATGCAAAACAATTAATTATTTCTATTTTAAGTTGAGTTAAAATAAAAATATTAAATACTGTTTTCACTAGGAAATGCTTGAAACTTGTAACATGAAAATCAATTGAAATTGCATTACATTTCTGTTAAAGTTACGTAAACCTTCAAATTTTTCATTACAAAAATGTGGGCTCTTTCTTTCCTAAACTTAGATATAGTTTCAAAGCTCCATCTTTCTGTACATTTGTATCTGACAATTTTTATGAAATCTCAACACAGAGTAAAATTTAGAATCTTTGCATTACTAGCAATGAAAAAGGATGTAAAAATATGTTAAGAAGAGTAGTGTTGTATTTTAAATCCACCGGTTGAAAAAAAAATCAAAATTTATACAGCATTGGCAGAATTCTATGTGCTGATAAGGAGGATAAACAGTAGGCATAAAGTATTTGAAAATATTGGATTAAGAATGTGAAAATAAACTAAATATAGTCCACAATAAGAGGTTTAACTATAAACTACAAAAAAAGATAAGACTATAATCATCCTAGTAGGATGGAAAAAATAGAGAATGTTTTTTTTAGTTAAATGAACATTTTGTTGACAGACTAATTCGCTTTTAAGAAAAACACAATTCAAAAGATAATATTTATAATTAAAGAGCACAAGAAAGATCAAAATAATAATGCCACATTGATTGACTAGACATCAAAAAATTTGCAACAAAAGTAAAAGCATAATACTAGAATGAAACTTAGAACGTTACAAATAATCAGGGTTAATTGATCAGAAATATCACAAACAATTCAGTTTAATACATACTACAATTATAAACATAAACACTAAATTCTAACAAAAACATAAGTTACTGGTGGACAGCACATTCTACTTCTAAATAAAAATTTAAACAAATCTTTTTTTTTTTCAGCATCATTTAAAATATTCAACTTTTTAATGAAAAAAAATCAAGTGCAAGAAAATTAATATAACAGTTATATAATTTAAAGTTTAAACTTTTCTACAATATATGAAATGGATAAGTAAAACCAGGGTCAGCAGCAAACTAACATATAAGGGTGGACATAATGAATGTTGAAATTAATATTAATATTTAAGTTATCTTCTTGTTAGAAGTTATTAAAATTAAAAGTTTTAGTAAGTGTTTTATATTTTTGATTAAAAACGCTTGAGATTCATATTATAACTAAGCAATTTACAGCTATTATAAGATTATGTTTTTGTCTATCTAAAAAGTAATCCTATTTTAACAAATCACATTTAAGAACTGATTTAGACTTTCATTCCTTCTTGACAGTGAAATGTACAAGCTTGCTTAAATTGAAGTACATGACGTCAGAGGCAAAATCCTTTTATTCGAAAAACTTAAAATAAATATAATAAACTCAGACAATGGAGGTGTAAGATTAGAGCCGAAAATTCAGATTTATAATTTTCTGTTGAGTTCACTTTGATTGTAATTCTTACGACAGGTGTTTAAACCAAAGATGAATAACTTAATTTTAAAAATTTAATTAAAATGTTTTGTCTCGAACCCCCTATATTTCTGTTTGCAATTTTCCGCAGGGATAAATAAACTCATATTTTGAGAATATACAGTTTCAACCATGGAGAAATTATTAGTGTATTAAAACTATTTAACTCTAAAGATGGATGTTGAAGGAAAATTTGATGGAGATTTCTATGTATGTGTCTTAACTTTTGATGGGTTTGAATCCCGGGCAAGATATGGATGTTCTTTCATTGTCTGTACTATCTGTCTTTACTGTAGGAGCAACGTTGGCCCACCTAATATGGTGCTCCTGAAAGACTGGCCAACAAATCTGCCCTAATACACATAAATTGACAAATGTCAACCCAGGTGAGCATTTAAAAAAAAATCTGGTGTATATGTTATCCCTAAAAATCATTTAAAACAGATATGCTTTCAATTAAATCACCCTCTGTGAATGTTGAACAATTTTTATACATTTAAGCATACATTCAAGTGTTTGCCTCCATAAGAGTTTGTTAACATTTAGTTTGTCTTTGGTTATGTTATTCAAATTTAAACTGTTACATATTTTTGCAATAAAAATATATGTTTTAAACATAATTTAAACATATTTGTTAGACGTCAAATGTAGCTCCTTAGTTATCCAAATAGCCCTATAACTTTCCAAACTTCCACTGAAAGAGAATTAGTAACGCAAGAAAGCAGAAGCATTATAAGCTAGTGAGATTCATTCAGGCGCATAGGTGCTGAATTACAGACCGATAAACTTTCAAATGGTATAACTACTAATTCTCTTTTAAAATTTGTAGAAACAGGCTGAGAAATCTAATTGTGTAAGTAATGTTTAAAGCAAATTCCATCATTCACAAATATACATGACTTTGAGATTGTAAATAGTAAATATATTGTTTCAACTTTGAGTTTAAAATTTTATCATTATCATCGTAAAATTGAAAAAGGCATCAGAACTGAGATTCTTATGTATATAACATACATACTACTTTCAATAATATGACTCATACATTCTTTTTTAAAACAATCAAGAGAGAAATACGAAATTTAAAATTTATATGATTATAAATAGCAAAATTGGTTACTTGCAAAACTAGTTATTATTATTTAAAATATTCATTAAATGAAAGTAATGAGGGTAAATACAACTTAATAGATACTAAACATTTATTACATTTCTCTATGTTACTTTAAAAAATCTGAAATCTCTCTCACAAGTACTTAGAAAATATAAGCATAATTTCATAACTTAAACTGTATAAAACTTAAGAAATATTTTTTGAACTTTGAATAAAAAGTTTAGATAAGTTTAGTTAAGGAAGTTTAGATAAGTTTAGTTTAGTTTCAGTAAGTTTAGTTAAGGACAAAGTTTAACATATTACTTTTTTCAAAATAATTTTTTNGGGGGGGGGGGTACAGTAATAAAAAATTTTCAAATTTTAATGAAAAATCTACAAAAATTAATATATGTTTTTAAAACTTGTGATAATAATCTTTCAAGATGCATTGAATCAATATATGGCAATTTTCGTATTATTATTCCAAGGACTGTATCATAGAATAGCAATGCTTTTAATGCAACGAGCATAAATCTTTAAACATAATTATAGATCTTTAAGTTTTTGAAAATAATGATGAAAATGCATTTTTTATTATTAAAGAGAATCCTTAAATACTGTAAATTTTACTTAGACTTAAATACCCCAATTCTTGATTCTTAGGTTTATTCACAAGTAGGCATCTTATATAAAGTCCTAAAACAATTATAACAGAGTCTCAATGTGGGCAAATCTTATAATTTCACACATGAAAATTTTGACAGTTTTAATAAGTATGTTAAATATTTCATAGCTTTAGTTTCAACAACTATGCTTTCTGACTTAAGTTAATTTTCAGAACTTTTATTTTCTTAACTAACTTTCTTGGAAGCAAAAACAAGTTTCTGCAATGGGAAAAAATGCAGCAAGATTTGAAATATAATTGAGAAAAAGAAGAAAAAAATAAGAGTTTAATTTATATTTCAACTCAATACATCATAAAAGCTTTGAAAAGAGAACAGTCTTTTAACAGTTCACTTATTTTTTCCAGCAAGGACTATTTCAATGAATGCTATCAAAACATCAATAAAATGTTAATGGAAGAGAAAACAATTCAAAAATTTTTAACAGCCATTCAGATACTTAGCATAGCTTCATTTTGTAATAATGTTTAGCTGAATATATAGCTGCACAGCAGCAAACAATGCCTTGCACAACATTGAACAGGCATTTAAGTATTACACATTTATACATTTAAATAAATGATGGAAGACAGAAACTTAAATTTTTCTGTGACTAGAGAATTATTTCTTTATACATGCCAAATCTTAAAATAAATGCAAAAAAAAAACATATCAATAAAGAACTATAATATATACATGAATTACAAAAATTTGCTAATTATAACTTAAATAAATAAATATTTTTGCTTAAAGTGCTGCACACAAGATATTTTATACTTAACACAATCTTAAAAAATATATATATGAATATTATTTATTAGTTTCAGCAATTTACAAGTACTGTAAAAGAAAACTAATATGATCACTTACTGCTAAAATAATAAATAAATTTGATAAAAACTGGGAGGAAATAATGACGTGTGGAAAATGAATAATTGGGAAATAAGTTATTAATTAATTGTAAGTTAATATAATTATATATAATAAAACATACATAATAAAACATATATAATAAAATATATGAATTCACAAAGTTTAATTATAGCAGACTTATGGAAAATACCAGAATTATTTAATTAGGTTGCAGAAAAAAGTTCACATTAGAAACATAAGAAGACAAAAATATTTAAAATTCAAGATTATAATAAGAAACACAATAAGGTAAAATAACTATAGTTGATATTCAAGACATTTTAAAGAATTAAGGTAGATACTCCATTTTCATACCGATGTGTGCAAATGTTTATTTCTATTCTTTTTCTTCTTAGAAGACTTATCTTGAATAATATTAATGGGATCCGACTTGGTAATTTTTTGTATCTGAAAAGAAATAAAACATAATTTCACAGAAAGTAAAAATAATCACTATTTTACAGCACATTAATTCGTTTTGGGAATCAAAATTATGGATAAAATTTTAAAAAAAACATTGAAAGAAAACTTTGTTAGGTAATTATCTAAGTCTAAACATTAATTTCCAACTCAATTTAGCATCAAATTACAGTATTAAAAAGAAATATTTCAAACTCTTTAATGAGAGCAAATCTACATAAGTATATGATTTCATTAAGGAAATTAAATTTATTTACTATTATGTTGTATTCAACCTCTAAATTTAAAGGTTCTACGTCACTATTTATCTTTCAAATCTACCTAACATGCTATAAACAATTTTAGATATTTCAAAACGCAAAACCAAGAACTATCAATTTTATACTGCAAATAAAACACTCTGTGTACAATAAATCACACATCGCAAGTTCTAGTATTACTTACATACTAAACTTAAAACAAACATACAAACTTAGATAATTTTTGATTAAAATGTTCACAAAACTAAAAATGTAATGCATGGTTTAAATGAAAAACTAAGTTGCTTAGAATGTATGCATACATAAATTATAAATTTATTCAAGACCTATGCTTATTCACAGCAGCGATTCCAAGCACAAGAAACAGAGCATTTTAGTTCATATTTAGCTGACAGATTACATTGAAAGTTTCTCACAAATAACCAGCAAAGAGAAAATCTCAATAAAAAAAATTGTCTGCTTACCTGTCAAAGAAAAGGAATGATCTTTTACAGATCAAAGGATTCGATCAAAGGACCATTCACAGCATCTCTTAAAATTTTATATTTTCATACCTAACTTATTAGAAATTCTCTTGAATCCAAAAATTTGATTAATATATGATATCAAAATTATAATAATTCAAAAACCTCATAGATATTTAAATTACCCTAAAAAGTCGCATCATAATAATTGAGGCAATCAAATTCGATCCCTTATTGGTTATTATGTCCCATGTGCTGAATGAAAACATACCCCCTTTGTCTGCTAAAGCTATTTTAATGCTCTTTTGATTTTGATATTACTTATATCTTATGATCGTTTCTTGTATACTATTATTTACAAATTTTGTGAAATGGAAGAAATATTTTAAGAACTTCAAACTATTTATTTATCACCAATCTAGACAAAGAAAAGATAATGCAGTTCATAGCTAATCAAAATTTCTTTTCAGCAGAAATAAGAGATGTGAAAGTTCAAATAAAATTTTATTTTATTCCCTTTATTTTTAAAGAAAATAATGTTCAATTACAAAGCAATTTCTCAATTAAAATCAGTGGTCTGTTGGATGGAAATATTTAGATATCGGGTTGAAGATTTTACGCATTCGGTATTGCATTTAAGGAAATCAATGCTTTCATAAATCTCGTCAATTGAAAAATAATTATATTGAAATCTTTTTTAGTCATTTCCTTCAAGGGGATGCCTTGCAATTGCATTCGCATCATGGATTGTGGTCTGGCTATGGAGAACACTTTTTAGTACTTTTGGTAATAAGACTTCTTAGGAGAAAAATATTAAAAAATTAAGCTTGTATCTGTTTTTACAATATTTTCAAATTTGTAAAGCAAAAACATTGTGTTTTTTCTTTTCTTTTTTCCTTCTCTTTTCTTTATTTTCTCAAATTAAGTCTCCTTTTAAACTTTAGGTATCAAGATGTATCAATTTGTAATTTTTTTTCATTAAAAACACAAAAGAAGTTTTTTAATTAATGATCTATCCCACAGATAATCACTTGGAAATCCTATGCCTTCCTCACTCTCTTTATTTTATTAAACTAAGAATGAGAATATTCTACTCACAAAGATTTAATTCAACAGCCAACACTAAGTTTTTAAATGGGACCACATTTATTGATTTTAAAATCATTTAATGGAACACTGATTCAGACCTACAGTGATCAACTAACTTTAGATTTAGATTTACAACATCAATTTCCTTGAATATTTTACAACACCAAACTTAAAAAACTAATACTTGAAGCTGATTTTTAGCATCATTTCCATTTATTGGTAGGTTAAATTTATAAAGGTTTCCTGAAAATATATTCATCTGCTGAGAGCGTTTACAACTTTTTTTAGAATCTTAAAAGAATTTGACATCACAAAAACTATGACTTTACAAAAAAAAATGACCCACAATGCTACTCATGCCATCAATAGGAATATGGAGATGGCTACAATAAGGAATATGGAGAAGAACAAAAAGCTGTTGAGCAGGTCCTTTTCATATGGCTCCTAAGGAATCTGGAAATTTGGGACCATGTGGAGACTACCACTGATTAAACAAGGTAATAAATCCTGACAGGAAAAAAATGGTAACTAAATCAATTGGATTATTTAAATTTCTTCAAATATCTTTTAGTCTATGTAATGCAACAGAAACGTTTCAGAGGTTCATCAACAAAATTCTATAAGCTGGACTAATTTATTCCACTTTGGAAGACACATTAACCACATCCATAACTAAAAATTAGCAAAAATTGTATCAGCAACAAATGTTTCCTCATTTTTGGGAATATGGTATTGTCATAAACTTCTCAAAATGTGAGATTGGAAAACTGGCAGTTACATTCCTAGGATTACAATTTTCTCATGATGGTATTTGCCTAGTGTATAAAAAAGTTAAATCCATATTAAAATATATTTTTACAACTACAAACTAAACAAAACTATGAACCAACCAACTACACTACAAACCAACTTCCCTCTTCCAAACAAAAATCTAACATACAGGATAAATTTTCAGTAATCATTAAAAAATTACACATGCTAGATAACAAAATCAAACTAGATTATGTCCAAACATCCAATTACGAAGGGATACTGGAAATTAAGGACAATTTCTAGGTCCATTATCTAAATTAGATTAATGATTGATATCTATATAGCTATCAAATATTGGTGCAAATGATTGATTAACTTATAGGCAAAATAGATAATAAAAATCACACGGAAGTAACTGAACACATTGCTGGGGTCGCAAATATTGCTTACTATTTGAAATATAATAACAAATAAAATTACTTCAGAATTATTAGCTGAAAGTGATGGAAAATCTTTCTCTGATTCCAATGAGTAAATCTCTCTGGTTTTGAAGACTTTTGTTTTTTTGAAACATCTTTTCTTGCAACTCTCCTCCTTGGGACTAAATTAAAAAAGGAATTTAATCAATTTATGCAGAAAAAACATTCTGGAAATAATCTAAAACTAAAAAAATGTTACCTTGTTTCCCCATGAAGAAATGGGCATGTTACACCTTTAAAGCAGTCACCTTCTTTCCAAAACCTACAAGTTATAGTCGACACATCGTGGGAGTATTTACAATCATTTCGAAAGCAATTTCCTTGTAAATAAAAGCTACAAGGCTTTTTCATAAAGTAGTGATCTAGAGAAGAAAGAAAGCAGTTTAATAGATAGAAAAGAATAACATTAAAAGAATAAAGCAGAGTGCAGTTGAAAGCTGAGGACAAGATTTGTACTTTCTATTGATTTCCAAGAGCATTTACGCTTTTGTTCTCATTGTACTTTATTACATAGAACAGTTATCAATGAATGCAAAAAGAATAATTTCATTAATGCAATAAATTTAAGAACCTCAGAGTTAGCTGGCTTCAAGGTGTGAAACAGGGATTCTCAACCTCTTTTTGTGGTGGCACACTTTTAACGATTTCGAAATTTGACGGCACANTTTCAACATTTTTGACAGTGAGGTTTTTGACGTGACGGTTTAAACCATGGTTTAAACTGTCAAAAACCTGCCAACCCTGGTGACAATAATTTTGAATGTGAAATAAAATAATATGTACTACAAAATCACATTTATTAAGAGATTGATTATTTCTTTCAACTCACTTATTATTAGTTAGTAACAGTTATTTATTTTTTTGATAGTTATTAATTGTTAGCTTATTTTCTATAGTTATTAACTGTTAGTTTTTCTTGTTAGTTATCCTTTGTTAATTTCCTTTAAAACTATTAATTGAATAGCTTACTTTAATGATTAGTTTTTATTTCAGTTTGAAAGTTAATATTTAGCTTTCTTTCTTTTGTTAATTAATAATTTTAATCGTCATTAAACTTTCTACTTATTTCAACATTTTTTTTAAAATTGCCAACATTCTTCTAAAATTGCCAAAGACAATTTAAACACTTCCTTCTCATTTTAATTTATTTTAAGATTGTCAGAGACAATACAATCGCCGGCAAAGATGTTCACTCTGTTAAAGTCTGGAAAAATTATAAAAAGTATATATATATAATACTATGTACCGTATTTGTCGGCGAAAGCGCCGCTTCGTCGCAAGCGCCGCACCCCAATAAAAATGAAATTTTTTAAAAAAAATTTATAGTAACCGCCGCTCTGGCGCAAGTGCCGCAATGACGCTAAACTGCGCATATCAGCATCCTTTTAGAATAGACCTTTAAATTACCATTTAGAATATCTGTATAATAAAAAATTTAATTTTTTTATGCGTTTTATAAAGTAAAGTTTTAATTTCTAAATTATAATAAAAAATTTCTTTTTCAGTAAAAAAAAAGCAACAAAAAAAGTTTTCTCTTTCAGCAAAAAAAAGAAGGAAAAAAAAGAAAACAACAAAAACTATATAAAATAAAGTTGTTCTTACCAGTTGGCACCGCACCAAAAAACAGAAGAACAGCAAAAAAATATTTATATGTTCAGCAGCTGAATTAGTAAGACTGAACTGATTACAGAAATCCGTAGAACAATGTCATAAGAAAAATAAAATGAAAATTTATTAAAAGAAAGATTTTAAAATTTATTACCGTTAACAATTTGAGGAAAAACTAATACATAATAACGAAACAGCTAATAATAACGAAATAACTAATAATAACAAGAATAAGAAATAACTAAACAGGCCCCAAAAAAATTCTGAAGAAATGAGCGAACGGGAAATAAGTTTCACTTTCACAATCTTTGAGGGTGGAATTTTAGTGAGTAGAATGCCCTCTCCTTCAATGGAAATAACCCAATGTGACTCAATATTTAAAAGGGGTTGGGGAAAAGAAAAGGGTATGGGACCCCTAATCCAGCATTCCAAAATTTGGCACTTAATCTGATCTAATCTTTTTTTTTAATTTTTTTTTTTAAGAAATTTATATTGATAAGACAAAAAAAATCAGCTATATTCTTTTTATTTGGAATTTTATTCTGTTGAAGTAACTTACTTTATTTTATCTTTTAAAAATAAAAAAGCTTGAAAAAAAAATTATAAATCTGTGTCAAAAGAAACATCTGTTTCTTAAGCAGTTTAAAATAAAGTGAGAAGTAAAAACACTTGCATTTCCAATGAACAAAATAAAGAAATGGAAGTTGGAAAAAACTGATCAATCAATCTTGACAGCTGTGCTTGTGCTTTACCCCCAAATTTCCCTCTTCTGTTTGACCATAAATTGGCCACACCCAGTTGACATTGAAACTACCACGTGGACAACAAAATGAATTCTATCCCTTTTGCGGTTTTTTATTCGATTCATAATTTTTTTTTATTTTGCCGCTTTTTATTTTTTCTTGTTAATTGTTGCTTGCTTTTTTTTTTTTTATCGTTATTAGTTTTTAGCTTGTTTTTTGTTGTTATTCATTGTTAGTTTCTTAGCATTAATTGTTAAAAAAAATTTTTTTTTGTAGTTCCCTGTTAGCTTTTTTTTTTTTTCTTGCGAGGTAAGCGTCTTTTGTTAAAACAAAATGTTATCTAAAAGAAAAAACGAGAACTATGATCTCGCTCCAAAGAAGAAACGATTATTTCTTCTTCATAGGATTCTGATTATTTCTTCTTGATTATATTATATAGAATATTATTTTGATTAGTAAAATTTCTCTTAAGATGTGCCAGTTTTAAATTCACCCCATCACAATCTACGATCGAAACTTGACTAAATTTCTTGGTTTTTCTGAAATTAACAGTGGAATTGAATTATAGTAATATTTGGGGGCCATATTGGAATTTCCAAAAAAAATCCGAAGTGCGGCATTTCGTCAGTCCCGTGAGTGTCGGATTTAGGGTCCTTTTCTGTTCGCTCAAATTACAATTGCCAAGGCGCTTAATAGATTTCTAGCTTGCGATTTTTCCTCAAGCTGGGGGTGGATACAAGATGCATACCTTTTAAATTTTCTCCTCATGCGATGTTTTTTTTTTAATTATTATTTCGTTTAGTTATTTTCTTACTGGTTGCTGCCGAAAGTTTGCTAAGAATTGGCGATGTTCTGCAGCAGATCGAGATATACGGGCGAATATTTCGTCGACTTCGTTATTAATTTTTTTTAATAGTCTTTCTCTCAGAAAATTAATAAAACTTTAATTGACAAATTTTTTGGCTACTAAAAAATATTTCGTCGGAAACGCCGCTGCATCGGAAGCGCTGCATGTAGGGAAAAAACATCTTTTTTTCGATAGCGCCGCGGCTCTTTCGCCGAAAAATAAGGTATGTATATATAATATTATATATATATGTACACTTTTCTTTAATTTAAACTTTACTCGTAATAAAAAAAAAGCATTATTATTTTTATTGTATCATTTCTAATATTTGGCGGCACATTTTAAGAATTTGGTGGCACACAAAAGTGCTGCGGCACAGCGGTTGAGAATCACTGGAGTAAAATGATATGTAAAATAATTTTGTACTAAAATAATAAATAAATTCTAAGTCCCGAAACAATTTCATATGATATTTTTCAATCACATCGTTATTTTTTAATAAGGGGAAAAAAACAATAAAAACTTTTTTTGGCCATATTAAAAACTGCGGAATTTTGTTGAATATCTTTAAGGATTTTAAAAATGTTTTGGATTTTTACTTATCTCAAATGAAAGAGAAAACTTTAAAAAAACTTCATACATGATATATTATATTAGCATACAATTTTTAATATATTAGCATACAATACATAAAGATACCAAAACAATACATGACAAAAATAGACTGTTAATAAATAGTTTTGTCTACTAAAAAAACTTACTTTGCTTTATATTTTTGTCCATGTAATTTGTTGATGAAAGTGAAGTTGATAGGTAAGAGTCATCTTCACATTCAGTAACATTAAATTGATTTTCCAACTTAGTCTCTTCAGAGGCTGCAAGCTCAAATTCTGTGCTCTGAAAAACAAAATTTTATGATACAAATTTAGAAGTTGACTGTATGATAAAAAAGACAAAGAAATCAATAAAAGTTTTTAAAAAAATATTCAAAATTTCCTTAGTTATATAAATATTAACTCATTAAAAAAAGTTAATTGAAATAACCTGATTTTAAATTTTTAAAAATTGCAAATCATTTAGTTGAGAAGAATAGGAAATATGCAATGATGCCTCAGATAGAATCCTGAACCAGACAACAAATAGGTTAGCTGGTTGAATGAGAACTCAACTGCACAGTGGTAAAAAAAAATTATCACTTTCAATAACTTTCGTTCTAATGATCCGGTTTTTAGGTACTAAGAATCAATCTTAATAGTTTCTGGGAGTGACTTCAAATATGCTAATTACTTAAAGCTAACTATAAATTAAGTTACGAAATCAGATACAAAAACACTTCCTCCGAATAAACACAGATTTTTTTTTTACTTATTTCGATTCCTCACCCTCAAAGTAGACAACATTTCGAAAAGATTGGATCTTCAATTGAGGGGGGATTAATAAGTTATATATATTTGACGATAGTTCCAAAAAACAGTCAAGCAAAGTCACTGCCACAAATGAATATTTCAAGATAACCTGTAGACTAACACGGTGCACCTTAACTAAAATTAAATAAAATGCTCTTACACCTAGAAAATTAGAAGATATTTGAATTTACAGTGTTCTTAGATAACAAAAATCTAAAAATTAAAATAATCTGTGGAGAGATTTTTATGATTTGTGATTTAAAATTAAGAGGATATATAAAATGTTGAAAAATTTTAAGTTGTTTAAAAATTTTGACTACGTATTCGTATTAGTAATTATAAAATATGTATTAAAGAAGATAGATATAGTATTCCAAATCTATGCATACGTATGTATATTATTGAAATTGTATCAATTATTGAAAAAAGAAACTAAAAAATAAAATATAATCACATTAAATACAATCACAATCTGATGTATAATCAAATTCTATCAGAAACATGCTTTTATAAAACTCTACATTCATTGAATAAAATGTTTTTTATTCGATAAAATGTTTTAGTTAAATTTCTTTACAAAATACGAATAAATATTTAGACGACTAAAAGAGAAAGATCATATTTTATGATTAAAGTAAATAAATAAAAAGATAAGCAATTGGTAATTACATTACATTTTACATTAAGTCAAGTTCCTCGTAACTTAACCACATTTAAATATTAATCACCCTTGCTTGAGAAAACTATCTCAGATAAGGAGGTTGTTCTAGCGATATTCATTGACATTAAAGGTGCATTTGATAAAGTCCCTGTTGAGACTATCATCAATGGACTTAAAAACAGAGGCATAAATTCGGTAATCGTCAGGTGGATAGCCAATTTGCTATCCTCCAGGTATGTTTGTTCCTCTTTACTGGGTACAAGCATGAGAGTGCATGCAACCTCAGGATGCCCTCAGAGAGAGGGTTTTGTCCCTTATCCTATGGTGTATGGTTATGGACTTTTTGTTAGTTCGGTTAACTGATCTTGGCATTCCCTGTGTCAGGTATGCTGATGACGGTGTTATTGTTGTCTGAGGTAAGCATGGCAAGACAGTCTCTGATATCATGAATAATGAACTTCTAGAAATAGCTAGATGGTGCTCTGACTCTGGCTTATCTGTCAACCCGTACAAGATAAGTTTTTTAGCCTTCACAAGAAAAAGGCATCTTGATCTAGGTAATGTATACTACCTAGACTATAAATTGGAACTCATGGAGAAAGTAAAGTTTCTAGGGGCTTATTTTGACTCCAAACTTAATCTAGAAATACTATTGGTAGAACCTGGGGATTATCCTCCAAAATAGTCTACTGGATATACTCAATGACAATTAGTCCTATTATCACATACGGCGCAATCGCCGGCGGTCAAGGACTAGATTGAGCTCCACCAGGTCTAATCTAAATAGACTACAAAGAATGGTCTGTGTAGCCCTGCCAGGCTGCCTTAGGACCACTCCCACAGCTGATCTTGAGAGCTTATTTGGGCTTCTTCTATTGAACTTATGTGTTGAAGTTGAAGCTCAGACAGGCATGAAGCGTCTTACGTACCTTGGCTTGTGGAAAGAGTATTTCAAACACTTGTCATGAGGTTATCTTGTTTCACATGTGATGGATATATTATGCCTAAAAATTATTTATGTCTCTATGAAAAGTTATTTATGTGATTATATGTCACTATGATACGCTTTTCACAAGCCTTTTAAGATCCAATTTCTTATTAGAGATTAATGGTTTAATTCTCCTCGGTTGCTTAAAGGCAAATATCTAATATGGTACACTGATGGTTCAAGGCTTGGTCTCAAATCAGGAGCAGGAATTTATTGCTCCAATGATGGTACCAAACTTCACTTTCCCTTGGGAAGCTATGCCACTTTTTTTTAGGCTGAGGTCTATGCCTTAATCTTGTGCTGTAAGATATGCTTAGAAAGGGGATATCAAAATATGACTATCAGCATCTGTTCCGACAGTCGAGCTGCTCTCCTATCACTGTCAAAATGTAAATTCACCTCTTTGCTAGAGTGGGAATGCTTTTCAGTCCTCTGTGACCATCTACTCATAACAGGGTATACCTGCATATGGATATTCTTGGAAATGAGCTAGCTGATGAAGGAGCATGGGTGGGCTCTAGTGCAATTTTCTGGGGCCCTGAACCTGGATTGGGAATTTCTCCCACCTCTTTTAGGGCATGTATATTCAAGGTCTATGGCAAAATTGCCCATGAGCAATGGCGCGTCGTTGACGGTCAGAGACAAGTCAAGGAGCTGAATCGTGACTGTCCTATTGTACGTCAAAAAGAGCTTTTAAAGCTTAATAGAAACAGTTTGAGGAAAATCATTGGTCTTCTTACTGGACACTGCATCCTCAGGAGACACCTATACATAATGGGAATTGAATCTAATTCTCTTTGTCGAGTTTGTCATCTTGAAGAAGAGACATTACAACATATACTTTGTGTTTGTGAGGTCTATTCTGTTCCGATTTGAGCATTTGGGGCAGCATTGCATTAAAACCTGGGAACTGCAGGATGTTCCTGTAAGGTGTTTGCTGCATTTTATTTCAGCTTTAGGGCTTTCATGCTAATCATGATTTAGGGTTTGGGTACAATAGACCTCTGCTCGATGTGCCCTGCTCTTTGGAGCTGCTCAGCCTCGAAGTCTAATATTAATCGCCCCATTTAAATATTTCTTCAATGTAGCCAAATTATTTTTTAAAAAAGAATTCATTTTTCTCGGTTTCTACTAAATAAAAACAGCTGAAACTTTAGATTTTTCAACAGAAAAAATATGTAGATTAATATGGTATAAAAAAGTTCATACCTCATAATTCAAAATTTTTTCTTTCTCAATTAAATTAAATAATAAAAAATAATAAATAATTATTAAAAATTATTTTTGGTATGAATTTAACTTAGGGTAAATAAGTTTTATGAGCAGGTGCATTTTTTTTAATAGCAATTCATAATAATATGACTAAAAATGCAAAAAGTGAATTTAACACTATGGGGTCCAAGCTTTGGATCACTCCCGTGACCAAATTATGGGGGCCATATTTCCCAGATTGTGGCGCTACCCCCTATATTTTGAAGGTTAGGAATCCAAGCATGTAAAAAAATATATGTTTATTCAGAGAAAGTATGTTTTTGTGTCTGATTTTGTAACTTAATTAATAGTTAGCACTATATAATCAGCATATTTGAGGTCACCCCCAGGAGCCATTAAGATTGACACTTAGTATGTGAAATCAATAATCCTAAGAATGAAAGTTATTCCACATGATAACTTTTTTTTTTTTTACACTGTACATTAAGAAACACATTTTCCCTGAAGAAAACAATCTGATTGAGAACCTTTACTCTGGATCCATAAGTAAATACAAACATGTTAAAAAACAATTTTATCAATTTTCTTTTCAGAAAAAAATATTAAAAAATTTTTAGTTATATATTAGAAATAGAATTTTCTAAATTAGAATGATTTTATAGAATGATATAGATTTACACTGACATTCATTAAACTAAAACAAAACATTTGTAGTGTATATATCACTACAAAAATATAATTCCAATTCAATGGTATATAAGACATGTGAACTCCATTCTATGGTGAGGTACCTTTTCATAGATGACAGTTGACATGGTCAAATTCTACTCTCTCCACTTAGTGTATCTACCACTACACATTTATAAAATAGCTGATGGTACCGTCTTTTGCGAGTTGTTTACATTGCCCCATTGAGAGAAATTTCACTAAGCCATGCATTCCATGTGTTGTTCATTTAGACCATTTTATCATCAAGTTAAAACAATGGTTATTAATATTGATTCAACTTAAAATTAGTTCTATGCTTTCAAATAAATCAAACTGAATAATGGTTTTCAAATGTATTGATTTCCATTTAAAATGTCTTTCTTAGCAGAGGGAAATGCTCTATTACAAATTAGAATTTCAATTAAAATATGTCAATATTTATTCTTCAAGAAGGCTTACATTAAAATTAATTTTATTTTGATTTTAGATCGACTTTTTTGAGTTGCAATAATCACTCAACTACCTAATAAGTTATCAAATTTATCCACACTAACCCCATAGTCTGTCCACACAACCCCAAGTTGTGGGACAATTGTGTTTTACTACATAATTTTATAATTACAATTTTATCTATAAAAAAAAATTCTACACTAGTAATTTTATTATGTATAAGATTGAAGATAATAATAGCACAATGACAATGAAATGTAATGTAAAAAAGTAATAAAATGCAAAAAAATAAAGAATTATTAATTTAGCACTATTAAATTAACTTACTGAGGAATAGGAGTCTTCAAAATAAAAGTTGGAGTCCCAATCTGCTTTATTTTCATCATAAGTCAAACTGTCAGATATAACTGCATCTTTGCATTCAGGTGGCATATAATATGATGATTCGGTGCTCCAAACAGTTTCATTCACATTATTCGTTTGCAACAGTTCTGTATTTAAGTTTTTTAAGTCAAAAATCCTTTCTTCAGCAAATTCAGAGAAACTATCATTACTAAATTCAATATCAAATGGTTCAGGTTTCCAAATATTTAACTGAGAATCATACAGGTTTTGGAGATCTATTTCATCAAATCTACTTTTGTATTGTTCAACATTACCTTCACTTTGAATAAGTTTTTGAATAATTGGATCACTAACTAAATTTGAGAAATTTGAACTTTTAAACTCAAAATTTTTTAAGTCATTATTAATATCCCAAGTTTCAGGGAGATTTATTATTTCATTGTCAAAGGTTGGATCTTTTTTAGATGTTAAATCATTTAACCAAATATTTTCAATAGCACTTTGATCATCTCCCCAAAAGAAAAGCCATTTCTTATCATTTAATTTTGGATAATTTTCTGAAAGCTCGGTACAAGGCTCCCATGCTGACTTCACAGGAGCCATATACTCAGTATATGGCTCCCAGTCTGACTTCAATGAAGAAAGATCGCAATTACTCAATTTGTATTTGCTTAGCCTGGTAATGCTTTCAGTTGCAATATAATTATGTATATCTCTAAATGAAGAATCGCCAACATTTGAAAATAAAGGAATTGAACTATAAGTATGATTTTTAACAGTAGGGGGCTCTCTCAAAAAACTTTTAAATTGTCCTAAACTGCTTTGTGAAAACTTTTCTGTTTTCTTCAAGTCACAGATAGAGCTTTTTAATTCATTAGAATAAAGTACGTGTGAACTTATAAAATCATTAATTACTTTAGTATTATCAACTACATCATGATCATAATTTAAACATACTTGACTGAAAACTAGTGCATTGTAATTTTCAACTTGCAATCCAGAAAATAAAATAATAGCTTTCAAATAAGCTTCAAAAAGTAACTTTGTTGAAAGTTTTTGATTGATGACAGCATAATTTACCACTAATGTACCATTTAAAAGTAAGCATTCTTCTATACTTTGAAAATATTTCAATACAATATATTTTTTGCTATTGATATTTTTACTACATTCAGTTTTTGATGAAAAAAGTAGTTTTAATATACTTTCTACATTATCAGAATTAGCATTAACACCAGAAAAATTTAATAAAGCTTCAGATTTTGTTTTATATGCATAATTTAAGTTTTTAATAGAGAATATAAAAAGGTAAACGAAACTAATGCCAGATGCCGGAAATATGAATGTTAAAGCTATTCCTTTAATTAAATAATTCAAATAAATATTACTCTGCATTTCTCGGAAAATTTTAATAACATAACACTCAACTTTCTCGAGAGTTTTAAGAGAGAGGGTTAGCCCATTGAAAGCAATGTTGTTAAAAACTGACAAGGAAGTCCACAAAGGTAATTTGAGTTTCGGTTTAATATCACGATTTTTCAGTTTCATTCGTATAAACTGATTAACTAAAAGCTTAAAAGTTTGAGCATTTAGAGCGTTTCCTAAACTTGAAATAAAATTATCGATATCAATACCTGAACATTGAATGAGAGCTTTATCATGGTTGATTATTAATGAACTATCAGTTTTGTAAACATTTTTAATGGTTTTTAAGAATTTATATGGTATTACAGGCTGATTACAACTTTTCACCGAGAGTAAACGATTTGGAGAATGAACGGTATTATTTTCAAAGCAATATGTCTTTCTGAAAGGTTTTCGATCCCAGATACTATTGTTACAATTTTCAACAGATACATTTTCTTCAGAAGAACTGAGACAAGGGAAATCATCAAAGTATCTGAAAAAGAGTAAACATAACAATAAGAAAATATAAAAAAATTACTCAGATTTTTAGAATAATAGAACCATAGCAAATATTTTTAAAGCAGTTTAAAAAAAATCCCAAATCAATATTATGGTGCCTTTAAGACAATCAAAAAATTTTATTATAATGCTTCATAAAAATTTTCAATAATTGTTGCTACTCCAATTTTGACAATTTGAAAGGTTTAGGCTACAAATAATAATCTCCTGAAGTTATATCTTTATATGGATTGAGTTGATGGATAGAGTTGAAACAATATTGTACATTCAAGCTAATAAATAGCAACCTAAAGTTAGAAAAATATTAGTTTTTTAAAAAAATTTAATTCAATGTAAAAAAATAACCTTACTTTCTAAGAAACATTTTCAAATATATTTCAATGATGAAATAAAGCAATTAATTACTTATACTTAGATTAGAGTTTGCCAAGGTGGGCTCCACCACCCCCCCCCCCAAAAAAAAACCAGCAGGTTTTTTCAGATTGAGCCCACTTGAAAAAACTCATCTTTATACCTACCAAGTGGGGTTTTTATCACATTTTATCATTTTCAATCAATTTTTTTAGCAATTACCAAACCAAATTGTTTTTTGAAATTATCAACTTATTGTTTTAAAATTTTAATTTTTTATGCAAAATTATATGAAGTAAAGCATATTTCAGAAAACTAATTTTTGCAACAAAAAAATTGCATATAAATGAACAAAATACATGAAAAAAAGCCCCTATACCAGAAAATTAAGAAATTAGCTTATAACTTGTATAGATTACTTTGGATTTTATTTTTAATTCGTGCATAAAATTTCGCAAGCCTAGCTTGAAAATTTATAGAGATATGGACAACTTTATGAAAAAACTAATTTTTTTCGTATTACGTTTTTTGCTATATTTTAAAAAATAATCAGTAAAATTAAACAAAATTTTTAGAGCAATTTAAAATTAAATACGCAAATTTTGTTTTAAAATTTTAAAAAAGTTCACTGAAAACTATGCAAGGTATGTGCATTTATAGTAGTTCTTTTGTATTGTGCATGCGTGAAAAAAACTTGAAATTTTTTTCGTAATTTTTTAGTGAATTGTATTTGGCAATTTAAAAAAAAAATCTTATTTGAATATCTTAGAAACGAGAAACGTTCCAAGAAATTTTCTCTGCAGTTTCAGTATTTTTTAAAATAAATCTCAAAATGATCAGATACTTTTCTCAGATTGATACTTTTTTAGTATTACAAATGACACTACCTTATAGCTGGACAGTAAGGACAAAATAAAAATGGTTTGGTTTTAGAGCCTTCTATAAAAAAAAAGCTTGATTTTATACCCACTTTACCCAACCTGACACCCTTAAAAATCTCACATATCTTTGGGCGAAATTGAGTCTTTTCATGAGAAAACCCAAAACACGTACGTGGGCGACCACTAATTTAGGTTAAATGGGAATAAAAAACACTACTGCTCTATTGGCTTCAATAGAAATCATAAAATACATAATTAAAAGTATACAGACATACTTTTGAATGTCAGATGATGATGATGATGCAGGCCTGAAAAAAGAATTTTCAATTCTATCGCCACAAGTGCTTCTGTAAACCTTCTCCTTCTCACCTACTGAAAAAAAAAAAACATTGTGAGTGAGTATTTAATCCTTTGCCTCAAAAAGTAAATAGTTAATAGAATTACTTTTTCTTAATTATAACTCAAAACACTTTTTTTTAAGAAAATTGCACTTTTTATTGCTGATAAAATATTCAAATTTCTAAACTATCTTTGGTAAAGCATTAATCATTTCTGTCATAAAATATCAAAAGTAGTCCTTTGTGATAAAATTAGAATTGATCAAAAACAAGGTTTAAAATCACAAATAGTAAAATTTATAAAACACCTATATCATACTTGCCAACTTAAAAAAACTGCCATCAGTAAAACTTTTTTTACGAAAAATTTAAGACCATTCGAATTATTTAATAAGTAGCAATACACCACAAATGAATAATAAATATATTAATTATAGAATCTATCACATGATTGAATGTTGATGAAGTGAAAACCATATTGTCATTAAATTTTTTAATTGCACTTGTTAGAAAATGTACAGAAATATCTAATCAACCAACCATTTATCATCTCAAATTCTATTACAATTATTTCAAATTCTATTACAATGACGCTACTTTTTAAAAAAATTTTATATGCAAAATAAAATAGTTCTTTAAGGGTTTTCCTCAAAATCAACAGCAAAAGAGGATGCTGAATTTAAAGAAGCTGAAGTAGCCTTCTTTGCTTTAATTAAAAAATCTTTTTCAAACACTTGTTCGTGACAGATTTTAGAAAGTTTGGTTTTTAATATAAGCAGGCTTTCTAAAGTTTTATTAGACATAATTGTTCGCGATTCAGTACGGTTCTTTCTAACCAAACTAAAAATTCTCTCACATTCTGAATTTGAATGTGGTATGAGAAGAATTGACAATACAATGTTTCCCAATTTTTCATACTTAAACATGCCATCCGCACCTTTCATTTGACTTATCATTGACCACTGCACATCAATTGCTCTATCTGGAACAGTTATTTCACTCAAATCTTCCAACTGAAGTTGGCAAAACTGTTTCTGCAATTCATCCATTGCCGTAAGCTTGGTTTCATTACTTTTTGTTTTTAAAAGGAAGGGAAACAAATTTACAAAATATCTCACACTTTCAAAACTGGAGTTTTCAATTTTATTTAAGTCAGCAACTTCAGCATGTTTGAGTACTTGATCATTTAAAGGGAATTTCTTAATAATATATTCACAGGCAGTTATGAAATATTTGATAACAGCTGAATAAAACAATGATTTTTCTTCTTCCGAAGAACTTGAAATTAAGTCCATTGCTGCGTTGCCTATAACTAAATCTTGCTGATCTTTATGGTTGAAAGAAGAATGAAAATTGACACATGTTAACTCTTTTCCTTTAACCTCAGAAGGTTTAACAAACTTCGAAAAAAGTTCTTTCAACATATCCAAAAGAAGAGCTCTTAATCGATGAATTTGTGGGGAAGATGACTGTAAAATTACATTTACCTTTTCAAATGTAGGGATAACATTTAAAAGAAATAAACTAAAGCACTTATTCAAATCTGAAGATAAAAACATAAAAATTTTCTCTTCTTTGGATAAAGTTGAAGAATCTTTTTGAGCTTTATGTCTTTTAACAATATTCACAATTTCTTGTTGTGAACTTTTCCTTTTTTTATCATTAGTTGGGTCCTGCTTATGTGTCTTAGTTTCCACTTTAGGCTTATCCTTCAATTTTTCTACTCTTGTGTTGCTTTCTGTATCAACTACTTTTGGTATTTTGAAAAATGACAAAGTAGATGATACAGACACACTGGAAGTGGAAACTTCAGCTCTGAAATAACTTGTAAGTGGATCCCACTGATTAACCAAGCGTGTAAGACTTCTCCCTAACGATAACCAGCGAGTTGACACATGCTTAAGCACTTTTTGTGCTTCTTTACCATACATTTCCTGAAATTTCTTAAGAGAGTCCTTACGATTAACGCTCCTTTTTAAGTGGTAAAAAATATCTACCAAAACTTCATCTATCCTAACGGGAAAAGTTGCAGCAGCTTTTTCAGAGGCAAGATGTATTAAATGGCAGCAGCATCCAATTGATATTATGTGCTCATTTTCTTTTTCTAAAAATGAAATAACACCATTTTTCTTTCCCTGCATAACGGAAGCATTATCTGCACTGAATGCTATACAATTTCTAAAAGGAATGTCATATTTAGCAAACACATTTAAAAGAAGGGAGCTTATATTTTCACCTGTGGAGTTTCCTTCCAAATTTGGGATTGCCAATAAAGTACTTTCAATGCGTTGAAGATCCACGTTAAAATAACTCACCACAACTGGGTACAACTTATAATCAGCTTCGTGACTACCATCACATGCTGCAGTAAATGCTTGTTCTTGCAAATATTTAATAATTTCTGAAGTTCGATCCATAGCCATTTCATGGACAAGGGATGCAGTTTTGGTTTTAGCACATCCGTAACGTTTCGCAATTTCACTTTTCGGAAACATCTTTCGAAAAAGCGGACCCACATGGCTGGCGGCATTTAGCGGAACATTATGCTCAACTAAAAAAGAGGTAAACAATAACTCAGCACGCATTACTTCATCTTGGACATTATCAGGTGGCTTAAAAAATTTGCTTAGTCTTTGGTTATTTTCAGCGTTTTCAATGTTCTTGGCATGATTCGGTCCGGTCACGTGGCGATGTATATCATTTCTACCTCCGTGCGATATTAGAAAGTCAGAAAAACAAATCGTACAATAAGCATACTTTTCTCCTTTGTTTGATTTTTTTATGCATGGAAACTCTGCAGTATAAGAATTCTTATACGATTGAAAATAAGTTTTCTTCGGTTTCATTTTTAACGCACACCACGTGATTACAAGCTAAGTAGTAGTCGACAGTTCAGTACCGTTTTCGTTCGTTACAGAGGGAGGGAGAACGACGTTTGGATCGGCTAGTTCAGTGACGTAGTAGAAACGGGGAGTGGCAATAATGACGGGAACAGCGCATTCACTAAAGGAGACTGGAAGCAGTTAGGAGGGAGAAAAGGAGAATAACCAATCAACTGGTTTACACGTGAACGTGCCGTTACTATGGTTACGAGGATAAGCCACTTATAAGGGGTGTGTGGTTACCGTGTTGCTTTGGAATAGATCAGAAAACTCGTGTCATTTTTTCTGTTTTCCCCCTTTACAAATGGTTTTACTCTAGCTCCATAGCAGCTGATAATCGCAGAATTTTGCCGATGCGCTAATCGTGCAACGTTAAAAACGGGGGATCCGTATAAATTTCAGGTTAATCTGTAGGCCCGTAAAATTAGACGTAAATCCGTACATTTTACGGATAATCTGTAAAAGTTGGCAAGTATGCTATATGTGTTTTGATATTGCATAAATACACTCACCTTAATCAATGGAACAAAAAAATAAGAATAAATAAGTAAATATTTTTGTTTTATTATTGAAAGGTACCTACCTATGTGACATCAAAATATGTTTATGTTTAATTAATTTTACTATTTATGATCTTAAAGAATTTTTGACAATTTTACCCTATACAGTGTTACATATTTATGCAGAAACAGAAAATAAGCTTTTCCTCATTGCTTTAATCAGGAAGTCAGACAAGTGAAATGGGACATAGAGCTTGAGCTGGTACTCCCTTTCCAAACATCTTTTACAGATGAACAAAAGAACTTTCCTTGATGAGAGATTTGATACACATCCTATCAGCCAATGTACCCTTATTCTATTCTTTTCAAAACTAAGCCTTTAAATTTCTGTACAATTAAAAACCTAGGTTATGCTTTGTTATCATTTGTATCAATCTGACAATAATTCCAGCTCCAATAATTTATTTGAATTTCCTTCAACTTTTTCTTGATAACTTGAGCATTTCTGAATGAAATAAAAAAAACATTTTCTATTTTTTTTTCTGGATGGTTAATTTATAATCAAGATATTTATTTTCCTTGGTTTCTTTAGAAAATATCTGTTCTGACCTTAACATCTATATAAACTCTAATTAATGCTATCAAATGATGCCTATACTGACAATTGTGTTTCATTTCCCACCTTACATGCTCAATAAATTTCATTTAAAGAACAACTATTTTTTCTAATGTTAACGTGTTTTTCTAGAATGGTCTGTATTTACAGGGAGTCCTCAAAACCATCATTAGAAATGAAAAAGATTAAACAATAGTGAAATAGTTGAAAAACAACAATAATCAAAAAGTTGCAATCATCAACAAAACTAGTAAAAGCATCGAAAATCAAAAACGAAATCATCACACTCAATTATTGAGAAGGTCACGGTGGATTCATTACTGAAGCAAAAAAGGATTTTTTAAAAAAAGGTAAGTTAATTCAATTATTATCTCATATAAGCTTTTAAAAAAAAGCAAACTCTATTTCAATAATTGAAGAGTATGAAAATTATGTAAATGCTTTAAGTATTGAAACTGACAAATTGAAAAGCTATATTCTTAGTACCTGTACTAACAAATACCATTAAAAATATGAAGAAATGGACAATTTATTTTAAAAACTAGACAGATTAAAAATCACTTTAAAAGATTATATAATGAAATTAAATAAAAAATAATAGTGCAATTACTAACAATACTACAACCAGAAATAATAATATAGCTTTAAATATTTTAACTTTTAACAATAGTTGAAGCATAAAATTACCTCATTTAAGAGTTACAAATTTTAACATCAAATTGTATAGATTGGTTTTCATTTTTAGCATGTGTAGGAAACAATGATAATTTAAGCTCAAGTCAAAAATCACAATATCACAAGCTTTCAGTAAAAAGCTTAGCATCAAGTTTGTTAAAATCAATGAAAATTTCAAATGATAACTATGACATACAGCATGGCTAATTCTTTAAGACAGATTTGAAAATGAATCAGAAATAATAAATACTGCTTAAAATAAATTAGTTTTGCAGCCTAATTTTAAGCATAAATCAGTAACAGGCTTACAAAAACTAATTGACATAACGAAACAGTGCATTGAAACATTAAAAATTCTTAA